TGTTTTGGCAATGACTTTTAAACTAAAAGTTCACACAGGTGTCCTTCATCACATTTACTATGGACATATTCAAAAATAAATAAATTAAAAAAAAAACAATCAGAAAATGTCCTTGTAATAAAATGTTAAACTCAAAATACATTTTTGTGCACATTACAATAAATACCTCTTGGTTTAATACATTCTTATATAATGCAAAGACAAACACACATTTTTATGATTAACTTAAAGGTACTTTAAAAGTCTTTGACTTTCTTTTTTCTGCACAATACAAAAAGCATTTTTAGAAAAATTATTCTATAATATTATTATTGTTTTTGTTCATTGAGTTGGATTGACATTGGACCCCATTGACTTTCACTCAGTGAACAAACTTTTTTCAAAATTATTTTGTGTTTTACAGAAGAAGAAAGTAAGTCATGCTTCCGGTCACAGATAAGGTTAAACATACACATACAATCGTTCGTGCTTTGACAAATCACAGATCCCGAGTCAGTCGCCCATCTCTTAACCGCAGTGAACCGAAAGCTGAAACCGATCCCGAAGCGGGTCGTCGAAGTGCAGCTCCACAATCGCTCACCGGCACTACTTGACATGGCTTTTACTTTGATCTCCCCTGTCTCCCATTCACTGGCTTCCGACTTCACTGACTCCAATCTGACCCAGATAAAGACTCTGACCTTTCCGACCAACTCCATTACATGCAGCTGTACTGGGTACAAGCTCTTAAACGACTGCGGCTTAAATGTGGCCATTACTGGAGCCGGTGTCTGCAAAGATTTCATTGTCAGAGCCCGGCAAAGGGAAGATGGCCACACAAAATGACTCTTGACCTTCATTTACATTCGTTAATCAAATGTCACACAGAGTCTGCGTGTTCTCAGCGAGTCCGTGTCTATCTCCAGAGATGATTTGTGTTTTCAAACAGGTAAATAGAAGGGTCTGCTACCGCTACGTGACTAAAGGGTAATCGTGGAGCAGAATTCAGTGGTCTTTTCCCACTTTGGACTGATTCTGAGAGCAAGATGCAGGTGAAATGAGATTTATTCAGATCGTTAGGAGAAAAACAAGATTGAATCTAATTATAAACCACACCGCTGGAATGAGAATCTGCAAAAAACATCTTGAATAAAGTGACCAGTGCCATTTTGTCATATATAAATAACACAGGCTTTCTTCTTCACCAACGGATTCGTTCCAATAGAATAAGCATGTCGTGAACAGCACAGCTAATGACCTGAGTGGTACATTTTGCATTCTAATTCATTCAGCACCTAATTGTGAGTGGACACCACAGATAGCTGCCCTCTCTCTCTCCTCATCTCTCCCCAGACTGCAGAGAAGCCCGGCTCAGAAAGGTCAAAATGGCCGACATTAATCAGATCGCCATATCCACAACCCCTCCCCGCCATCGTTACTGTGCTAATCACTCTGGGTTTGGTTGCAGAGAGGTTTACTCCTAATTATTGTCATTAATAAATCAGACGAGTCAGGCTGTCGGGATGAAAGAGAGGCCGTCCCTGCTTGCTATCCATCAGAGAGGCAGAGTGCAGGAGAGTCCAGTCATTAAGAAGCCTTTGAGACACACGGCCACATTGGGGACTCAGCAGCTCAGACAATAACACGCCTAACTTTTTCATCAACCTGTGGCTTCCGCAACCAACCAGAAGACGACGATCCCGGAAAATCATCAGTCACGTACAAAGGAGTGAGTTAAAATAAGAGAAGGAATGTTGCAGAAAAGCCAGGCACTGTGGGATTTCTGGAAAGCAACAGTCTGTGTACATAGACACTGTGGCAACCAAAAGTCTGAGACCACGTTGAAAATTAGGGATTTTTGTCCATTTAAAATTGGAAATAAGTAAAGTTTTAGCATTTTGAAACAGTTTAAATGAAGTCCTGATGTAACCAGATCAAGCACTAGCCAAATAAGTATCACAAATCAGGCTGAATAACATGGGAAATTTCAATTTGAAATAAAATTTGCATTTATTTATTTAAAAATAGTTATTCACCGTACAAGCATTTTCATTGATGGTCTCAGACATTTGAACCCCATTAAGTTTATACTAAGTGTTTTAAATAAACATTTTGTAATCTATTAACACATTAATAGTTTTATCATTGTGTAGAATAACAAAATGTATATGAAATAATGTTAAAATAATGTTACGTTCACTCTAGGCTGATATATCTTTTGCAAAGATCAGAATGGATCCTAATGCATTTAAATAATTTCTATTTGAAATAATTTGATCATACATACACACACACACACACACACACACTAGATCAAAGGTTTGGGGTCACAATGAATTTTAAAAAAGAAGAAGCTAATACTTTTATTTAACAAGGATGTATTAAATTGATCAAAAGTGTCAGTAATGACAAAAAAAATATTTCAAATAAGCAGTGTTCTTTTGAACTTTATATTAATCAAACAATCCTAAAAAAAAATCTATTCCACATAAACATTAGGCAAGACAACAGTTTTCAACATTGATGATAATAATAAGACAAGTTTCTTGAGAACCAAATCAGCATATTAAAATTATTTCTGAAGGATCGTGTATATTTGCATTTATTTATATATTAACCAAATTTAAAATTAGGATGCAGTATGATCTTTTCAAATTATAATTATGTAGATGTGCGTTTTAGTTACAGGTGCCATCTAAATACATCACATTTTGGTGCCTTAGTTAACATCCGAACAGAAATGTTCACTCAAAAACCAGCAACCATCAATACAAAAAAGTGTGCTCGTTTCAAAACACATGCAAACACACACGCTCACCCAGTTACCACGCGTGTTGAGGACAACAGCTAAAGCTTGGCGAATATCTGTGTATGTGTGTGTGCTTGCCATGCCGCAGGGAGAGAGAGATGGAGAGAGACGTGGCATCGCGCTGCCATCACATCTCATCAAATTAAGGAAGTCCATTCCACTTAAACGAGTTCTGTGAATCTAAAATCGACCATTAATGCAGTGTCATGTTAAATTAATACTGTCATCTAAATTACTGGTATGAATCTTTCACATTTGAAATGAGACCAAGAATGACTTATTCATTCTCTGCTATCTCCTCTGATGTCATCCCCATTAAACATAACCAGGCGAGCTGTCTTGGCCTAATTGTATTAGAGTGTTAGGGGAGTGTTAGGCTGTTCAGAAATCATCATTTAGTATGCTGATCAACGGCTTTAGAGAACTGAATAATATCTGAAATGAGTCGTGCTACAAGGCATGCTGCAACTGACAACACATGAGAGAGAGACATCAAGGAGATACGAATGCCGGACGGTACGTCCATATACATTTGATACAGTGAAAAGAAGGAGCTCAAGAGTGAGGCGACTTACTTAAGTGCCTACCATGTGTCGTGCCAATCTGACATCAGTGTGAAAGGAGCGAGCGAACTGGTGCCTGTGAGGTAAACACGGACACATGCCCTGGCTTCTCTCCAGCAGCAAGACGAGTCTTTATAGGCTGGAAATCTTTGACTGCACTGAAAGGAAAAGGGCAAACACTGCTGAAAACTTTTACAAATTAAGATTTTTTTATTAATGTGTAAGAGAGACAAGCTAATGTAATCTGGTAATGAGCCAGACCTCATAAAACTAGTGGAGCTCAACTCCCTCCTTCAGTTTTATGGAGGCTGGCTGCAGGTGAGACTGATCCTGATTTACTGTCTCTTCTGTTCCGCACATCTCATGTTCGATAAGACAGTGGAGCGTGTGTCTACATGTTTGAGGTTTAACATGGGAAATACAATGAAACTGGTTTGCATTATAAACAATACTTTGGTAATTGTACACATGCTACACAATTGCTACTACCAGGGTTGTGCCAATTTCACAACTGAAAAACTGACTCCCTTTCAACTCATGACAGGAAGTTACTAAAATAATATGTAAATCGGAATGTCAGGAAGAGAAAATGGATGAATTGCATCCTAAAGAAATTCAGTATACTGTAGTAATGCATTCTGGGAAATGAAGTGTTTAGCCACTCTAATTCACCAAGGTTAATTTTTTAGAATTAACTTGATTCTAATTACTTCTATAGTTGGCATTTCAAACATATCTATGTATCTATCTATCTGTCCTCAAGTATTTTTAAATGTTTTTACCGAGCTAAAATTCAACGTTTGTCTTGGCAATAAGTGTCTAGATACAGTTCTCTGTATTTCCTTACATTTCACTTCATTTTAATACGATTTTCTTACATTCAAATTCGACCTGGAATCCTGTTTGCTACATTCGAATTCAGAAACTGAATTGTAATTTAAAAGGCATTCACGATCCAGCTCTGAATATAGTATAAACACATACATTCATACAGCATTTGTCATGTTTAAATGGCATATTAAATATGAAGGATTTACCTCAAACATGTTTTTAGCGGACTTGAAGCATTTATAATCGTTATGTCAGCAGAAATCATCACACAAAAGTTTGGAACAACCCCAAAGCAAAAGGTTTTGCCTGCTAACCATTATTTAAGACAAAATGCTATGGCCACTACAGCGTTTGAAAGAATAAATATCATTAGCGGTTATACTAAAAAGCAAGTGTGGTCTCTTGATATTCGCCACAACTGTTATAAACAAACGAATCTGAATATGGCACGATTCTGAAAGCTTCTTACCCTTTGGATATAATTTCGATTTTCATTCACTGAAGTTTTACAGAAGTAAAAACGAGGTATTTTGACACTAGCAACTACAGTGATTAATTTACTTAAAAAAAGAATATGGTTTAAGAAGTGCTTCAAAGATTAAATGCACGCACACCACGTATGGAACCAGGTTGTTAAACTGAAAACCGCATGCGTTGAAATCTGAAAATAACATGAGCATTTGTCGCCATCTAGTGGCAAAAATCTGAAAAAAAGAACGACTTCACACCACAATACAGCCTCTTTATTGGGCCCGGGGGTACATATAAACAATGACCTTGTATATAACCATGTTAGCTTACTTTCGTCTACTAAAATGCTACTTCTACAAGCAAACAAACAGGGTCAAAATTTGCATTGGTACCAGCTTGCAAAGACTGTTGATCATTTTCTGCATTATTAAGCTCAATAATGCATTCCAACCTTGTCTTGTTAAACATCAAACCAGCAAATCCTTTTCATGGCCAAATTTAGATCACAGACAGGACAACCTGTGTTTGCTGAGAGGTCTGACATTCTTGAACCAGTAAGACCTGATGAAATATGGCTCTGCTCCTTACAGCGAGGCCTGGTAAACAGTTTCATATTCATATTCTCCTGCTCTGCAACTCTTCCTACTGACAGCCATTGCCACGGGCCAAGATCTCTCACAAAGCCGATGTGCATTTCAACATGGTGTGTTCAAAAAAAATGTCAGATGGACTGAAACTGTTCCGAACACTAGCAGAAGAGAGGGAGAGACGTAAAAAAAAAAATCTTAAGGGCAGAGATAGGCTGTCTGGTCACATTTAGAGACTGGGTGTCATGGGAAAATAGCGCCACCAGACAAGTTTGTCCATTTGGATTCATCTACCTTGCCTGGCTGTGGCTGCACCATTCCTGGGGCTATAACGGAGGAGGCACGGGATAAATGTGACCTACCGCTCATAGAGGGCAGAACTACCAGTGTGCTGTCAGTCTACCTGTGAGCATCAGACATCAGCATGCACATAAACACGCACTTTAAAAATACACCATTGTAAAATAGAAGGATGAGTAAAGGATGTCATCTAACAAAAGTGTTTAGATTTGTTTCTTAGATGTGTAGGAGTTTATATATACTCAAACACGAACTCAAGTGAGGTGGCCAGCTGCATAAAAAAAAGCATTTTTACAATGATTTTAACTATAGATTGATCCAGATATATATCTTGGATGTAGCTCATTTAAATTCAATGCCTCTTATAAGTCATGTGAGGAAAAATAATAAATATTTTTTTTAAAACTACTTTTTAATGTTTGTTAAAATACAGTACAAACTGTAATGTTGTGAAATATTACAATTGAAAATAAATATTTTGTAGCATTATAAATGTCTCTGCTGTCACTGTTGATACAATTTATATATACAGTATACTATATATATATATATATATATATATATGCACACACACTATTTTAATCCAGCAAGGTTGCATTAAATTGATCAAAAGTGACAGCAGAGAAATCAATAATGCTACAAAAGATTTATTTTAAATGGTCATAATATTGTGTGATATATTGTGCGTGTGATATTCTTTACGGATTCTTGCTCCCTAAACATATACGCAAAATTTGTGACATTGACTATATATACTTTTGTTGGAACAGAGGGTCAGATTTTCTTGCTTCCACTGAAACACAAGATGCTCTTTGGCACATTCTCAAATCATTAAAAGCCCAATCAAAATGCACACAGAAGTTGAAAGTGAAAAATAATTTTCAGAATGGAATTAAGAATAAAAGATCCCCATTTGAGGGTTTGTAAAAAAAAATTAAAAAAAAACTCAGACCAGTATTACTTTCATTTTCCAACCAATTCTATACAATTAATTATTTCTTTCAGAAACTGTAGTTTTTTCTTAATTGTTATAAGTGATATATGCTTTTTAAAGTCTACATTTAGTGAATGACAGTAAAAACAAAATTCAAATGTAATCAAAGTTGAATTTTAAGGAGATCATTTGAATTTTATTATAGGAGTGCATTTGTCATATGTAAACAGATTACACCAGATTATGTTATATTCCATATTAAAGGGACAGTTCACTCAAAAATAATTCCTCTGATATAACTCTATCTGAAATTGGATATTAAGACACTGGGAGACAGACTAGTGCTACAGTGACAAGGTATATATAAGACTGAAATGACAATGTGTGCTTATTTGGTCTAAATTGTATTCATCACCAGTCCTCTCAAAACACTTGCTTGATGGATCATTATAGAGAGAACTGGACTTTAAAAAAAAAATTTTTTTTTTTAAAGGACTTGGGTGGAAATACATATCATGCCTTGAAAATGACTATATACACTGAGAAATCTAGCAGCAAAGAGTGATTGTTGTTTTTACATGTCACATGTGATACTGCATGAAACAGTCAAAAAAAAAAAAATCGTATCATTATTACAATAGTTTATAATAAATCATTTTGATCAATCAATTAACATGCCTATTTGAGTCAGTGTTATTTTACTATCATTGACATACTATTATTTATTTGGTTATTATTCTGAATTACATTTTATTTTTATCTTTTTTGTTTTCATTTTAATTTGAGTTCATTCAATTAATTTTGTTCTGTGTTTATCATTTTTATATTTCCATATAGTTTTTAGTTTATTTAGCTTTAGTTATTTTAGTACTTCAATTTAAGCTAAATGAAAATGGGAAATGTTGCCTTGGCAATTAGCTGAAATAAAATAAGTGTAAGTTTATATATATATATAAATATATATATATAATTAATCTTTGTAATCTCCTCAGATGACAATGTAGATGCCTGACAAACGTTGTTGTTGTTGTGATCATAAACTGTATGGATGTGATTACACGCAATACACGGAGCTTTTCCCTCACCATTGTAACGCGCTGCTTTTGCAAAGTTCCGAGAAAACGTTTCAGCTTTTATTTTCCTTTTTCGCCCTGAAGAAGATATCACAGGTTCATCAAGTTCGTCGAAATTATCCATCCTCGATCACTTTTAGTCAGCTTTGACGAAACTCCTCTCAGCTAGCACGTCATTTCAAAGTGAATGTAGCCTTGTCACCTGACCTGAATACAGCGTGCCGATTCGCTAAAATGGACTTATCGGTTTCTGTTCAAAAACAACAAGGGCGCTTGTCGGCTTCTGCAGTAAAGTGTGAACTCTTTTTAAAGTGGCGTTTATCGGTTTTTGCAAATGAACTATATATATATATATTCTGTATATATACACATTTTATTTATGTTTATTTTATTTCATAAAATAAATAAAAAATAGCCCTGACTTGAATCAACAGAAACATAAAATTACATCAGCGGGGCGCTTGTCGGCTTCTGCAGTAAAGTGTGAACTCTTTTTAAAGTGGCGTTTATCGGTTTTTGCAAATGAACTATATATATATATATATTCTGTATATATACACATTTTATTTATGTTTATTTTATTTCATAAAATAAATAAAAAATAGCCCTGACTTGAATCAACAGAAACATAAAATTACATCAGCAGACACTGAAAATGTGAAAAGACAGGAGGGGGGATCTACCTTTGTGTCATGCAGCAGTTTGTCTGCTCCAACATCTTTGGCGTATTCTTCCATGTCAAACTCGATCTTTTCGTAGAGCTTCTTCTCTTCATCAGTCAGTTTAGCCACATGGTCGTATATCCCTGGTACTACAATTTTTCCCTTGTTATCCACCAAAGAGCCTAAAAATACAAAATACTTAAAACACTTTCAAAGCACAGCAAAAGCAATAACGGTACATAAACACCAATAATTTTTTTATGGTCCATCATTGCGAGTTGAGCTAATCAAGAGGAAATCATTGATAACTGCTCTAAACTGACAGGTAACTTAAGAAGGTCAACAAAAGACAGATATCCCAGTGTAATCAAACACAACCAAGGAAATCCCAGTCATACATTTTTATGACCAACCTACTGACCCTCTTTCTACGTAAGGAATATGTAGACATCAGTCTCACCCATCAGAGCTATGAGGTCAGTCATGGCCTCATGAACGGATCCTCCAAACACGCCAGAGTGAAGATCTTTATCACAGCATTTCACCTGAAAACATACGACTTGCTCTTGTTAATCAGATATGAGGAAAATCTCAAAACGTTGCCTTTGCGAGGATCTAATGCTTTCTTTCATTAAAGAATGTTTAAGTAACATTACATTGTTTTAAAATCTTTTGTTTTTATAGCCGCTATATGCATACTGTTAGTATATATACACATGAGAACAGAGTTTAACTTTAAATACCACTGCTTAACCACTGCTACAAATCATAAGTTTATTTTGACATTAAAGTAACAAAATAGCTCCTACCTCAACAAAGAAGTAGCAGATTCCTCTCAGGCCGTAGGTAATGCAGGGCTTGGTCTTCCCCAGCCAGTAGTTGTCAGAAATGCAGACGTAGTCCACATCCTTAAAGAAAGAGTCTTTGCGAGAGAAAACCAGCTCGTCCAATCCTTCTGATCCAGACTCCTCCATTCCCTCAAAGCAGAACTTTATATTGATGGGCAGTTCCTGTGATCAAGTACATTTAGTTTTTAGTGCAAAATTCCATTAAATGAAAGACTTTACATAGTGTTTTTCAGTCAATATAAATCTATAGATCAGTATTCTATTAGTGTTTGTCATGCATCATAGAAACACTGCATAACATTACAATTAAGCTTACAGTTAATTAAATTAGAGCTAATTAAATTAGCTTGACAAAACACTTTTAAAATGATCAAAGATCATAAAACAACATTTGCACTGTTCTGCTGTCTGTAAACGAGGAACTTTAAAAGCAGTGACAGTTCACTCAGGTGCTAATGATTGAGAGGTAATTGCTGGATAAGGGGAGGAATGTATGCGATGCAAATTGATTTAACACAATGATATGCAGTGTTGGCCTCAGTTGTTTCTCAGTTTCAGTCACACTAGGTGCACATACAACTGCGATTTTTAATTTACATTCCATATTGTTTAAATGTAAAGTTACTTTAACCAGATTAAGTAAAGCAGGCAATGCTAAACATCTAGCATCTTAACCCACTGATATGGTTATACTGTTTGAAATACTTGAGGACTTTGCACTGGTGTTACAGGCTTAATAAGTAAGCAGAAAGTATCATTGGGAAGAAAGTACAGTGTTTGCACCTGTCCAATCTTCTGATAGGCCTCAATGACGTTGAACCAGGCTAACACAGGGCCTTTATCATCCGTAGATCCACGTCCGTACATTTTACCTAAAGACAATTAAATGAAGCATGAGCCACAGTCAAATAAAATGTCATAAACTGTAATGATTATAAAGCATTTTTATCTACAATCTCAGTTCAGCAAGCATTTTACAGTACATATCAAAGTGCATATAAAGCCCTCACAGATGCATGGCCTTGGTATTAATTTAGCAAAACTATAACTTTATGCCAGTTGTAACAGATTACTAGTGAATAACTACACAAAAAAGACCATTTAAGAGAATCTTGAAATTTGAACCTAACAGTGAAATTTCAGAATTGGTGAAATTTTGTCAAAAAAAGGAAACATAAATAGATTAAGGAGGTACATTTGACAGATCTGAATGTGCTATATAAAACAAGAAATATTAACAGTTTTAATGATATGCAAATCTAAAATAAATCATTTTTGTTTAAGAAGAATATACATTTGTCCCAGCTTAAAAAAAAACCTTATGGGAATCAGCTGACAGGTCACAAGGCTACGCGTCAGATCTATCTCAGCAAAAAGAGACAATAGGATTTGTCTTGAAATCTCTTTGGGCTGGAGGGACACAAATGTAACATGCTGAGTCGGTGAGATTTCTTCCTTTTTTGTGTCAACAGCCACATGCAAGCAGGATGGAAAAAAACAATTTCAAAAAATGCTAGTGGTGACTAATTTTAGCCAAATCAAATGTGAAATATTACCTGGAGGGAGCACTGCTTGCAGAGTATTGCACAAAAAGCAAATCAATTGTAAAACCTCATTTGGTCTTAACAGATTTCTTCCATACACTCAACAGCTTCATTAATAAATTGATGCTAGCATCAGTCTCCTCAACCCCAAGAGAACGCTACCGTACACCTTTTTTTTTTTTTTTAAAACAATGACTTGTGCGTGCACACTCATACCATCTTTTTCCACCAGAGTGAAGGGCGGTGAGTCCCAGCCATCCTCAATGTTGGCTGGCTGCACATCCAAGTGCCCGTAAATGCACACAGTCTTCTTGCCTGGGTCTGAGCCAAGTCTACCCAGAATTATTGGAGGAAGAGGGATCTCTTCACCACCTGGCAACTAAATTAAAACAAGAAAAAGGCAATGCATGAAAAATTTTAAATTATGTCCGAGTGTCAACTTTTTCCTCAAGACATAGGAACCATCTTCTTCAAAATTTCTTGGAAAAGCAATAGCATATTTGGAACAACATCGGATAATGACGAAATATTGGGTGGAACCACTAATTTAGGCATATAACTGTTCACTTTCACCTGATCCTTAGTTTAGCACATTTAAAAGCATAACTACACAACTGCAATCCTGTAGGGCATGTGACACATGCAGTCACATGGTCAACCACAAAAATGACCAAGCAGGAAGCAGCCTGTGATGTTTGTGCAAAAGGCTATCATCACTAAAAATTCCAAAGCCAGACATCAAAAGAAAAATTCCAATTCCATGACAGGACATCCATATTAACTGTGATTTTCGAAGAAAAATTAAACACCTTCTGCATGCCGATGTCAACCATCTCCACAGTTCCCCCCAGTCTCTCAATGTCTTTGGCTGCCATCTCCATCATCTTCTTGATTTCTCCTCGTTTCTCTGGCCAGGCAGACACACTCTGTACAGCAACCCATTGTGCCAGGCGCTTCAAATACAAGGTGTTCACATTTCCGTTAGAAAATATATTCATGTCAAGTAACCGTAAAGTCATCAAACGTTTTGAATAACACACATGAAAATATATAAATAAAAAACAGGAGCATTTAAAAAAAAATCTTAACAATCTTAGCTAAAAGCATACACATTTTCCAAGTTTTGGCTATATCATATAATACAGTGTAGTAAAGATAATCTCAGTACCTCAACATACTCGTCCTGGTGCTCGTCGACGTATTTGAAGAGAGTTGGAAGGCAAGACATTGCTGCACAGTGATCCAATCACGCAGTGACAGAAGAACTGACCTAAAAGAAAGGAAAATTGACGTGTAATAAAAGTTTTTGTCCTCCAGAAAGGAAAAGAAACTCCTCCCAACTCTGTAACTGCTGACAATATCATATTCCCCATATCAGTGTAGAAGAGCTGAGAGATGTTGCGCTATACAGCTATAACAGGATACAATGTAACATTACCTGTTGTTTAGAAATATGTAACACACAAACGTCTTTTTGACAATGTCAACCTCAACCAACGTTTTAACCTTATTATTGATAACAATAAAAAAATATATATTTCGCTTACTAGTAAAACTCCTTAGTAGCCTAATAAGTCGTTCACCGAAATTAATTAAATATAGCTAGCTCGCAAATAGCAAAAACAGTTTAACGTCTTGAAGTTAACTAAAATTGAACTGCTCTGTATCTCTTTAGAACAGTGTGTGAAGAACGCCATCAGCAGCATCTCATGAGTTCAGACAAGATCAATGGCTTTCAAAATAAAGGTCTTCTTCTTCTTTTGGAGTTTTATGGCGGTTGGCAAACAAACGATAGGTGCATTCCCGCCACCTACTGGGCTGGAGTGTGGACCATTGATGGAATAGGAAGAACAAAAAAATAATAATAATTAAAAAAAAAAAAATAAATACATAAAAAATATTTCATAATAAATTATATAATAATAATAGAAGAGAAAAAAAAAAGGAGTATCCTCCATCCACCTGATAGCTAATAATATTGCTACCATCTCTGTAGTGTAAACTCCTACTTGATCAGAAACTCTTTTTCCAATCTTGATTTGATAAGTTGGGACCAAAATAAAGGTCTGAGTGAGGAAGAGGCTTTCACATACTGTATTTTCACATTTAAGCAGCACTTGAAATGTATGAATGTCACTGCATTAGACAATAATAAATGAAACCAAGCGGTATTTCTCACTTTTCAAAAAAAATAATAATAATAATATTTCACAAAACGTTTTAAAACTTTAGCCTTATTTACATTTTTTCATATTTTTTTTTATTTCGAAGAAAAAATGGCCTCAGCGACAATGTTGCCTTTGGTTGACGTCAACCCAACAATTCAATCTTTCCATTAAAAACGATATTTAAATTCAGATATGGACTGCAATCAATTCTGCATTTATGTATTGGGAGAAATTGACAAGGTAAATGCATTTTGACTAGTTATTGTTAAGCATTCACATCAAAGTTGCTGGAACCCTAGAAGGGGTATTATTCTTGTAATAATCCCTTTAAACCACATATACAACTGACATCACCTGAAAACTGAAACCTCAAATTAGAAAACAGTCATGAAAGAATGTAATATTGACTGTTGACAAGGCATTGGTTTATTATTATTATTAGTCATTATCGTCAGTTTTTTTTAAAGGGGTAAACTTCAGGTAACCATTTACAAATGTGCCTTTAGACATTGTACATCTTTAGACATTATAGAAGCAAATTAAGATGACATGATCACTTATACATGCGTACAATTTAATAGTTGTAAGGCAATATTAAAGTTCAAGACAAATATTGTAGCATAAACACTAGCTAGAGTCAAGGACAGGGACAAATAATGCCTGTTGTGCAGAAGCACACATGTATTACTCTTACTGGAATCAAAAGTTTTTAAAACTAAAAGTATGACTAATTCCAATACAACAAGCGATGTATTGAGAAAGTGGTTCAGCAATTATTATATTTTTAGACATTATTAGACAGATGAATTAATAGATTAGAATTAATGTTAGACCCTGTTTAATTTATCATTTATATTAATCATAAATATATACATAATAAATAATCATATCTGTCATATACAATTTGGCATTTTAAAGTTTAAACACTGCTAAATTAATTAGATTTTTAAAAAATGGGACAAATAATTACATAATAATGTAGTCCTAATTTAAGCAATTGAATTTTAAAAAATCATCCCATCCAGGTAACAGCTGCAGCACTGTCAACGAAAGACTAATAATAATTAATCATTATAAATAATCACATTTAAAATAGCAATATTAATGTGTTCTGTTGCAAGTTTACATACTTGAGCATGTTTTCTCATGGTTTATTGTTGAGCTATGAGTTCCTCACTGATTATTTGTGTCCTTGGAGTTTTTCTTCTTTATGGGGGGTGGGGTTGTGAATGGGTGTCCCTTATTTTGCCTAGCTGAAAATAGCAACCCTATGGGTGTTAGGAAAGTAATTTCTGGAACAGTTGTAAGTCTATAAACAACAAACAAACACTACATGAGCTTCTACTGCCACAGGTATAGACGTTTCAACGTGTGATGTAGACATAGGAATAATCTTAGCTGCTGTTGCCACTTCACCAGTTGTCACAAGTTGCGTGGAAATAGCTTCTGAAGTAGTGATAATTCCCATAGGGGATGTGGAGATTGATGTCATCTCTGATGCTCCAGCCCTTGTCATGGTTGTGGAAGAAGTTTCAACAGGGGTTGTGGAGACAAAGGTAGTTTCAGGTAGGATTGGTACTTCAGGAGCTGTTGAAAATGGTGTTTTGGAGACAGATGTACACATAAAGGTGCTTCACGATGCCATAGAAGAACCTTTTTGTCTAAATGGTTCCATAAAGAACCTTTAACACCTGAAGAACCTTTCTGTTTCACAAAAGGCTCTTTGAGGCAAAAGAAGGTTCTTCAGATTACAAAAAGGTAAGAAAGAGATGGTTCTTTAAAGAACCATTGACTGAATGCTTCTTTGTGCAACCAAAAATGGTTCTTATATGGCATCGCTTGAAGAACCTTTTGAAGCACCTTTATTTTTAAGAGTGTAGTTTCAGCTGAGGTTGGTGAAACTGTCACGTCAGATGTGGACATTTCCAAAGCAATTCCTGATGCCATCCCTTTAGCTGAATTGGCTTCTATTAAATACGTTTTCGTAAGTGTTGTGGGGACAGATAACACTTTGGCAGATGTTGAAGCTTCATCAATAGTTTTTGCAGGTGTTGTTGTATCCAATACAATACCTACTGATGGTGCTGTTCCAAATGTTATTCTCTCAGTAGATGTTGCTGATGGGGAAGAAACAACTTGTTTTAACAGATGACGTTGGAACCACAGTAGTTGCCAATGCAGGTGTGGATTTCCCCAGTACAACATCTGCTGTGCTATCTGAAGTTGTTCTAGATGTTCCATCAATGGAAGTGAGTGCTGGAAAAGTGGCTTCCATAGGGCTGGTGCTTACAACATTTGTTGTTGAGACCATCAAAGTGTTTGGTAAAGTACTGCCAATTTCTGCTGTGATGGGCAACTAAACGGGTGTTGTGGAGATGGACATAGACTTGGCTATAATTTCTAATCATTCAGGAGATGATGGTGCTTCAGCAGTTATTGCAGCTGTAGATGTTTCCAATCCAGTAGCTGTGGTGCTAACTAAAGGAGTTTCGGTACTCTTTCTGTAAGTGAAAGTGGCTTCTATTTTCACAGGTATGGAAGTCTCAACATGAGATGTGGAAAAAGGAACCGTCGTAGCTGCTATTAAACAACTAAAGGAGTTTTTCAGTATTCTTTTCATGAGTGAAAGTGCCTTATACTTCCACTGAGGGTGTTGTGGATCTTGTATTTGTCTTCTAACAACCCTTTTATAATGTAACTTGTGTTGTACACAGGACACTACCTGTGCTTTTTCAGTCTTATCAAGGTAATCCAGCTGGAAAGTGCTATCCTGGGAAAACAAGAATCAGTGGTTTATACAAAGTAGTATATCTCAACATAAGTGTTTAAAAATTCAACTGAATATTAAACAAGGTCATACCTCAATCGCTGAGTGCTTAATTTCGACAAACACATTGTGTTGACCTTTCCAAAGAACTGGTGGGGATCCATGCAGAGGTAGACCTTGAGACAATAGATGTTTAGATATTATAAACATTGTTTCTAAAAAAAAACGTATTTAGAACTAGCAGAAATATGACCTAGTTCAACTATATAGCAATTTTCTTCATTAACAGGCATTATGTTTAAAATACTTATTCTACTATGTTAAATATATATATATATATATATATATAAACAATGTGTGCACGTATATATAATATATATCAACAATGTGTATGGGGTAAATATCAAAATATTGTCTTAACTACATTTTGTCAGCATATATTTACCAGTTTTGTCTTCCATACTAGGGTACAGCCTTCGGCTTTTTAGCTGAACATATATTTAATTCTGAAATGTTTAATATGGATAGCCCTAATAATTAATGCTGTCATGGTAAATTACAATTTAGAAATACAAACAGCAGAAACACAATCAACACTTATTGATCCATTTAATGTACAGTGACATTTTTAGAAGGACAAAATTATAAAAGACTGGTGACAACTGCAACGGTGTAAACACATTTAAATATAAAGTTGAAAATCCAAAACAAGGCCATTTAATAGTCCAAATGACCATATTGCTGAATGCTCATATCTTGTCCAATGTTGACGAGAAGAAATAAAATCGCAAAGTCTAAATAAGAGCACAGAGATCAGTATCTGTATTTGGTTGAGTAATCTTTAGGGGACACTACAAGACCTCGTCCTTTTCTCGCCCCCCTGTAGACAGTCTCAACAATGTCTATCATCTCCTGCTTGTCTTCCATGGTCCAGTTTATCTTGTTGTTGTTACCAGTGCCAAGATCAATCATGATGTGCTTGTTCCTGAGACAGATGAGCAAATGCAGAAATATGTATTAGCATAAATATGCACTGTTAAACTAGTACAACCATTAAGTAAATGTTTACATGACTAATGGTAAATCAGAGCATGTTAAAGGGATAGTTCACCCAAAAATGAAAATTCAGTCATTAATTACTCACCCTCATGTCTTTTCAAACCCGTAAGACATTCATTCATCTTCAGAACACAAATTAAGATATTTTTGATGGAATCTGAGAGCTGTCTGTTTTTTACATTGTTGTGATTTGATCTGAACGGAAACAGCGTATCCATGTGACGCAGCTGACACAGAACAGCATACGTTGTTTACGTCCAGCGGATATTCTCCAAAATGGCACCAGGGTGATGCGGAGGAGACTAATTGTTGAATAAAGTCGTAATTTTTTTTCTTTTGACCACAAAAAGTATTCCCGTAGCATCGTATAATTGCGGTTGAATCACTGATGTCACATGGATTATTTTACAGATCTCCTTGCTACGTTTCTGGACTTGGGAACATTTCAGTTGCGTTGCTGTCTATGCAGGGTCAGACAGCTCTCAGATTCCATCAAAAATATCTTAATTTGTGTTCCGAAAATAAACGAATGTCTTACGGGTTTGAAACGACATCAGGGTGAGTAATTAATGATAGAATTTTCATTTTTTGGGTGAACTATCCCTTTAATCCACAATACTGAAGAATCTGTAGAGTTCACCAATAGGTGGAGACAAATCTACATTCTGTGCTTTTGGGGAAGAAAACAAGCAAGTCGTCTAGAATGTTCCACATACAATACATATTATGCAATTGCACATTTGACAAACTTTACTGACAGCAGCTGTGGCATAGTATCTATACAACAGAAATAATTATATAAAAAGTGAGGAACCGTTACAAAAGACTTGCCACAAGACTGATGTGATACAATCACTTACTAACCTTGTCTGTGCAAAATAACATGCATTTATGTCTATCAAATTTCAACACATTGCTACTAGCCAATAAAACTTTTAACTTAATTCAATTCAATTCAAGTTTATTTGTAAACAATACAGCGCTTTTCACGATACAAATCATTGCAAAGCAACTTTACAGCAAATTAAGTTTCTACAATATTTAGTGGTAGCTTATCAGTGGTGATTGTCAGTTAATGTACATATGGCAGAAATGTACGGAAAAATCAATTAAAGACGTAATCAAACAGACGATGATTGAGAAGCGGTTCTTCTGCTACAGGTAACAACTCTTTCAGTAATTTAGTGGGTACAGGATCTAACAGGCATGTTGTTGGTTTAGATGCAGTGATAAGTTTTTATCTCTTCCTGTCCTATAGTTGTAAAGCACTGCAGTTTTATCTTTTTGTGCGATGAATGAAGCAGAAGTATTATACGCTGTAGAATCTACATTTGTTATTGTATTTCTGATGTTATCTATTTTATCAGTGAAGAAATTCATAAAGTCATTACTATTAAACTGTGAGGGAATATTTAGATTGGGTGGCGTCTGGTTATTTGTTAATCTAGCCACTGTGCTAAATAAAAACCTTGGATTGTTTTGGTTATTTTCTATGAGTTTGTGGACTTACAGTCGCAAAGATACAAGACAAGGACTTCCTACCTACAAAAAAAGTCAAGAAGGGCTAAAAATATTTTCTATGGCAATTTGCAACAAATGTTATCATTAAAGCAGCACTATGCAACTTTTTCTGTTCAAAATTTGCTAAATGTATAAAATGAGCGAGTACATCATGAATTCATCTTCCAAACCGCGTTTTTGTCTTATTCCGAATCACTACGGTACACTTATAAGAAGTACATATATGGACTATTGTAGCCTGGTCGTCACCGCTGCGGAGGAACACATACCTGCGTGAATCGCCATAGACATAAACTTAGAGAAGTAGCTCCGGTTGGAATGTTCTTCCGCGGGATGTGTGCAGTTCTGTTTATTAACCGCTAGAGTGCCAAACGTTACATAGTGCTGCTTTAACTTGTATCTAGAAACAGAAACAATCGTTTAAGAATAATAAATAAACAACTAAAGCAATAACATTTAAATGCGTAGTAATACGTGGATTATTTTTCTCAAAAGTCTGTGTGTCTTCCAGTCAGTCAATCAGTATATCTGGGACGGCATGAGGGAGAGCAAATGATGGGAGAATTTTTTCTCTTTTGGGTTGAGTAAGTTACTCCTTTAAATAAAAGATATCCTGACTGGCTTGGCTGAATACAATGGAAAAACTGACTGTCTGTAGTTATTATACTGCTCGAGGACTTACCTGAAAAAGAACATGACTGTGCAAGGATCATACAACTCATACATCTTGTTGAAATCTGGCACTTCTGTGATGTCCACAAGATAAATGACCGCAAAATTCTTCACCTGCTGGAACACGTGATATTAGGCACATAAAACAAACAAAATACATAATTATTCCCAAATCACTGGTGTGATGACAGATCACAAAACATATTCATACACCAAATACTAGCTGATCTGAGGTGTTCACGTTCAGTTCGGTGGTTGAACACTAGGACACTGTACAGTAATACCTTTTCGGCGATGCTGTACAACACTTCATCCATCTTCATACACGTAGGGTCCCAATCGTGGCCAAATCGTATAACAATTACACGGTCTTCCTCTGATAAAATAGCCTGGTCCACTTGCCAGCCATTGTGAAGATGAGGGAGCATGTACGACATTGTGATGGATGTCCAAACACACTTCTAAAAAGACACATGAGGTTGTCAGATTCATTTGCTTGAGAACCGCACACATTGGGTTAATAAACTGTTCAAACGTTCTAAAATATGATGAGATACTAACTGTTTACATTTCACACGTTGGTTTCTCGTTAGCGATTAGATCTGAATTCTAGAAAATAATAGCAGGTTTCTTCAGTGAAATATTAGAGCAATGAAAAAGAAAAAACAAACTTTAAATGCAATCCTTACCTCACAATTTAAATTAAACTTGTCGTGTAGCTTAGTGTGTTCTGAGTTTATTAGATATATAACAGTTTACTGTTTTAGTACTGCAAGTGCAACGACGGCGGCTAGTGGACAGTGCGTACAGAGATCATTGTCGCCCTCTGCTGGATTGGAGAAAGCTGCTTCGCTCTGAAGACCACAAATAGAAATCTGTCAGTCAAATTTACAGATACTTAAATTCAATGTTTACATTATTACAATGTATTTACAGAGTCATTAAACATTTTGATGAATCAGCCTCACTTATTATTTGCCCTTAATCACAAACAAATGCACAGCATATTTGTATTATATTCACTTTTGTATTTATATTACTTGTATTATATTTAAGTATTATGGCTAAATACTTTGCTATTTTATTATAATTACCATGTACTCAGCCATTGTGAAATCATTTTAATTGAGAGAATGTGCAAGGTTTATAATAACTTCAAAAAAAGTTGTATAAATGAATGTAACATTTAAACATTTAAATCTTAAATGCTTTTAAGACCATTTAACATTAACCTCAGAAAGTAAAAAGGTCATTAAAAATGGAAACACTTCAAAGAAATTGTGTCCACGGTCTTCAAATTCAACATTTTAGGTGTATTAATATATTGAGGAAAGTGTATATGAAGAGTTCATTTGCAAAAACAGATAACTCCGTTTTTAACCATTTTCATTTTGAATTTTCATCTCACATTGTGCATTCCAATTCATCTCAAACTGCTGTTGGGTTATTTTGGTTAGGTTAAAAAATAACAAAAAAAATACAGCTAACTCACACATTAAAACCATGATAACAATAAAAAACATGGTTTTTGAAAAAGAAAAAAAAAAACGGAGTTATCCGTGTTTGCAAATAAGCTCTTTATATCTCGATATATCAGAGCAGACATGTACATCAGGATTTAAGATGCATACCTTCCTGTGTACATTTATATACATTTTAACCTAAAATTACAAAATAATAATTCTATGGACACGTAAACGTTAACAACCTATATATTTACTAGACAAAATCCAGAGGATTTTTGTAGTCATATATCTTATGACAGAATACCCTTTAAATTTAACAAGCAGCATGAAGAATGCCAGCAAGCAAATTTTAGTTCTTTAGATCTTCAAATAAGATCTATGATCACAATAATAAAGTTACATTTATTTTCCACATTTTTGTACTGTAAATAAATACTAAATACTAGTTTAAATAAACTGCATACTGGTTAACTGATACATTTTGTTCTCTGATAATGACATTTAAGTCTGAGGTTCGAAAAATGGCCACTACTACACATGAACATACAACTGAAAGAAGTGCACTTGAAAGTATGTATATATGCTCTAATTTATTTAAACAACTTTCATTTTGTAAGCTTAGATGTTGTTGTTCACTATATTGAATACTGAACGGGGAAATAAAACAGGAACTCAAGAGTCTACAAGATATCCTGATGCTTACAATCATTTTACAAGAAATGAACCGCAACCAAATCAAATTCCTCTGCAAAGCTCCACACTTTAGCAAGTATCAGCTGAGAGGATGTCACTTAGGTAAGCTGCATTCATTCATATTACAAGAGAAAACCTTTTTGACAAAACAATAATTTGAATATACCATATTTATAAAAGTATAAGGCAAGCAAAATATAAATTTAACAATGGAATTGATTAACAGAAAGATACATAGTCTAAAACTTTATAAACTAACATTCCAACAAATATATAGAGAATGTCACAAAAAATTGTTTATGACATTTGGCAAATATGAAAAGGATTTTTCACACAAACATTTTCAACCCTAGAACAATAAATGGCCTACAAACATCTAATTTGACATGAACCTTGCATGAAGTGATGCCTCAGTGAAAAGTAATGGATGTATGCTTTAAAATGGTTAATATGAAACAAAACATATCTACTCAAACACACATTTATGAACAGCAGCCAAAAATCAAACACATTTTCACTTGTTTCAAAATCTCAAGTTCTACTTGGCTAACAGTTTAAACACTAGTTTCGGTGAGAATGGAACATATTTTGCATTGTTTCAAGGAACACGTAGCGGTTTAGGCTCTCAGTACACTTTGCGTTCAAGTCCTCCACGTCTTTATTACTAATGTGAAGCTACTCTTGGAGGTCCACCATTTCTGTGTCTGTCACGATGGTCAACTTCTCCGGCTCAATCTCTGGGATGTAGAGATTATGCTTCAATTTCATCAGCTCTGCCATATTGAAGCCTAAAAGCACCACAGCCTTAGTTTTCTGAATGTTCTTCATACATCTGGTACGCTTTGAGCCAATCTGGCAAGCAATGTCAGTTTTGTTAAGCAGCAAGCGGCTACTCAGGGCAAGGATCTCCTTCTTGAGCGGGTAAGGCTGTGTATTAAAGTACTTATTGATAAACTCACGACGTTCTTCAAAGGTGGACAACTCCATTCCGGTAGGATCCAATGCTAATTGTACGGAAGGATCGATTACTACTTCAGGAGAGGGGACAGTCAGACCAGCCAGCCTATCTCGCTCGAGTTTCCTCTTTCTTGCCAACCGTTCCTCCCGCTCTTTCCTATTCGCCTCCATAGCTTCCTTGAAGGCTATTTCCAGACGCAACTTGCTCTGCATCTCTGCTGCTGTTTCTGGTGGCTGTGTAGCAGGGACAGAGGCTTGAACTGGAGTTGGACCAGTGATTTGTTTTGGATGAGCTGGGTATGATACAACTGCTCGGTTTGCTCTAGGAGTAACAGCTAATCCTAAATTCAGTTTATCACTATCCTTGAGACTCTTCGGTGCACTTCGGCATTTAGCCAAGTGGACAATGATGGCCTTGGTGGTGGTTTTCCCAGTGTACACACCACCACAGTAGAGGCATCGGTACGATGGGGTTTTAAGTATAGCATGCAGAGTGGGCACAATGAAATGCTTCTCTTTGAGGTGCATTTGATAGAATTGTTTGTTCAGAAGCTTCTCCGAGCAGAAGGGGCACTCAGTGCTGTCAGGATTGGGTGTGGGCATGTTGCATGGTGTGGACAGCTTGCCAACAGCCAGAGGATTGTTGGGCAACATCTTCACAAAAATCAGATCGAGGGAGCTTGTGACCAACGCGAGATTGAGCTCCTTCTCACCCATAATTAGTTTAGGAGCCGTGGTCCTGATGTCGAAGTAAGGGAAAAGCAGATTCCCCGAATCATCAGTATAGAGTCGGTATTCACGCCTCATGAAGTCACAGTTGCTCTTTCGGTTCACATTATGTTCCATCTGGATGTGCTCAACAAGCTGCTTGATGGAGTAGAAGAGCCCCGAACAGAACAAGCAGTTCATGCCATGAAGCAGGTGTTCAAAAACTCCCTTTTCTGAAATCAAGATCTTGCATGTCAGGCATTTCACCGTCTTGTCTGGCATCTTCTTCAAAAATGGAGCACGAGCAGCTAGACCAACCTTGGGCATTTTAGCTGCCTCTTTGTGAACTGCTGGATGGGACTCGTAGATATCAGATGGGAAGAGTTCATTACAAATAGGACATGTGATCCACTTCTTGGTTTGCTTGGGGGCCGGCAAAGAGGTGTTTGGTTTGTTTTGCTGAACAGGTAGGTTGTTCTGGGATGCCAGCATGGGTGGTTTGCTGATTCCTTGGGAGTTATTGCCTTGGACCGATAGGACCTGCAAAGGTGCAAGAGTGTAGGTGGGCAAGCCGTCAACTTTGTTGCCAGTGGGGACCAAATGGCTCAGAAGTGATTGAGAGGTTATCATGGTGCCTCCAGAAGCAGGTTGATTTACGGGCATTCTTGGATTAGCAGCGAGGGACTGAGGTGCCGGTGGCCTAACAGCAGGTACATTAAGGCGAACACCTGGCGGTAAGACAATTTGGCGGGAAACGGGTTGCAGTTGTGACTGACTAGGTAGACCTACTCTGACAGACACCTGGTTGGGAGGAATGCCGCTAGGAGCAGGAGGCACGGCAGGTCTGGTAATTTGGGTGTTCTGAAAAGCCAGTGGGACTCCAGGTCTCAGTAAACCCTTAGCCTCAGCGCTTGCAAGTTGAACCAGAGCAGAAGCTTGAGTTGGGAGAAACGCCTGGCTGCTTCCAGGGACAGCAATGACTGCAGAACCACCATTTTCCGGTCCTTTAATTCCACCAGCGGCCAGTGTAGAAGTCACCGCTGGCTGATCTTTCATCATGAAGACAGCAGGAGTGCTTTGTGTTTTTGGTGCAAGAGCAGGGTACTGTTTCATACTTTCTGTTTCAAAAATTAGAGCTCTAATATGAACATCCAGTTCCTTGTGCTTTTCTGAAGTCAGAAGGTGATACAGCAAGTGTTCGGATGTCTCAGCTGATACGTAACACTTTTTGCAGTAGAATTTCTGAGACCTGTCTCCTAGGGCCACAAGTTCCCGCTCCGATCTCTGCCCGGCATATTTATTCAACGTGGAAGTGTAGTGATAAAGAAGAACATGCTTTTTCACACTATACAAAAGAGTATCTTGTATATGGCATCTTCGGCACTGAAACGTGGTGCCGTTCACAGCCCTTGGAGGCAGCTGTGGCACAGTCGGAGTTTCTAACTTTGTGTCCTCAACGTGGAATAATCTGAGGTGCCTGTTGACAACTCTGGGGGGGGCTATAAATGGGCAAGAAGTACATGCTGAAAGCTTGCACAGACGCTCTTCTTCATCATGGTAGCGCTGAACATGGGTTTTGTAGGCATGCCAGGATCTTGTAGAGAACTCGCATAAGGTGCAGCACAACCCTCGTGTCCGATATTCCCACTAAGGATTGAAAACGCTTGGTTAGTTGCCACTCAATATTCAGAGATGCTCATTATTTAAACAGTTTTTGCTCAGTAAAGCAAAACTAATTTACTAAAGTAACATTTAAAGTTCACCTTCTTTTTCCACCGTCCTTCAAACCCTTCAGATAAACTGGGCCAGTCTGTGGCATCAAAAACATTGTCTCCTGGGTAAAATTCCTGGAGTTCCTGATAAACAAAAAGAGAAATAATATTTCAAATGTAAAGACATTTTAAGTAAAGGCTATTTTGATACACATGGACATGGGATTTCAGTTGTAGTCTATTTTATTTTTATTTGTACATTGTAAAACAAACATACCTGGCCCAAATT